ATTTCCCTCTGTCAAAGCAGAATGTGAATACCCCTTTGTCTGGGACGCTGCGGCACATATGCAGGCTCAAATCCATACACTGCACTGATTCTCTCTTCATGGGAAATCTTATAATCCAAGTACTGGCCTTACATTTTAGATTTATATAGAATCAAACCTTCTATAGTAAGAAAATGTCTCACATATTTGATTCCTTAAATTAGCCACCATCCATGAGGGGGTCGCCCGGAATGGTTCTGAATCAACAGGTGTACCTTGTCAGAAGTTAACTGGTGACATTTCTTCTCTTCTTGATGCATTTGGCACCATCAGTTATGTTGTGCAGAGGTAGTGTTGGTATGAACTGATGGCACCTGTGTGTGTGCGGCTTTGAAGCACATAGGAGGAGGTGTGGCGGTGTGACACTATCAGTAATCTATCCAGAATTCCAGGCACATTTAACCAGCATGACTTCTGCAGCAACATACCATCCTATTTGATTTATACCTACTGAGACCATCATTTGTTTTTCAACAAGACACTGACCCAAAACACAGCTCCAGGCCCGATAAGGGCTGTCTGCCCTGGAAGGAGAGTTATGGAGTGCTGCATCACATGACCCGACCCGGCCCGGCCTAAGCCAAACTGAGATGGTTTGGGAGCAGCTGGACACAATGACTGTATAAAAAATGGATGGAATGACAGCTCCAGGAAGTGAAGCTAGGGTGAGTCGATCACCCCTTGTGGCTGGTTGCAGTATAGGTCATAAATCCCACCCCCTCCATTAGTTTATGAAATAATCCCAATCACGGATAATCACCTTTATTGGCCAAGTATGTTACACACAAGGGATTTGTTTCCAGTACAGAACCGAGGCAGCCATCTGTGGCGCCACCTCAACCGATGGCTCTAACCGTCAGGGGCAATGGGGGGGTTCAGTGCCTTGCCCAAGGACACTTGGACATGTGGACTGCAGGCACCGTGATTCGAACCTCCAACCCTCCGGTTGGGAGACGACTGCTCTACCCACTGAACCAAAGTCGCCCACACCAAATGTTCTGTAATCCTTTGTATGTCCTCCCTAACCTCCTCCAACCTCTTTGGGTGCCCTCTGAGCACCATTTGTAGCCTTTCTGGTGTAATTTTAGCCCATTCTTCATGGCATACTAGTTCCAAGTCTACCAGATTGCTTGATTGTCTGCTATGTACAGCATTCTTCAAATCAATCTATGGGTTTTCAGTGATACTCTAAGTGAAAGAGGTGTGAGGAAACTTGTCAAGAGCCATGTAAGAATACAAAACAAACAGCAGGGGACCTGACAAAGTCCTTAGAGGCAACTGGAATACAAGGTCACATCTCCACAGTCAAGGGCAGTCTGCACAAGACTGTTTGGGAGAAAAGCAGACTCTTCAAATTGATCCACAGGTTTTCAGTTTTAAGGCTGGAGACTGTGAAGGCTGTGGTTAAAGGTTCACCTTATTCTTTTAAAAACATTCCTGAGTTGACTTTGCTCTGTGCTTTGGATCACGGTCTTGTTGAAGAATCCACTGCCTCTTCATTTTTAGCTTTTTGACTGGTGGTAGGAGGCTTTGCCTTAAAATCTTCTGATATTGTGCTGCATTCATTCTTCCTTCCACTTTATGCAGAGCTCCAGTGCCTGATGTAGACATACACCTCCAAAACAGCAGCAAGTCTCCACCATGTCTGACTGTGGGAATGGCCTTCCTCTGTATTTAGCAAACTTTTGCACTGAAATGATGATTATGTTGATGAGGAAAACATTCTTAGTTTTACTCTTTTTGCCATTTCAAAGTAAGGGGATGCAAACCTTTTCACTCAACTATAAAGTAATCGAGAAATAATCATGCTATAATAAAAGTCATCCTCAGTTGCAGCTGTATTTGAACAAATTCACTATATCACCTATGCCTACTGCAGAGGCTTACTGTACAGAGAGCCTTTCATGACTGTCAGTACTAACCATTTAGAACCCCTTCTATGTAATAACAACCACTGATATTCAAACTTGTCTTAAGTATGCTGTAAAATTACTTTTGGAGGTCCGTCTTGGCCGGTAGCTCTGTAAACCTCATGGTATAAGCCAGCAGCTTGTTCTACAGGGATACAGTGTGGTGTGTACTCAGAGGACATGGGCACAGGCTCTTGTTATTAGTATCCCTGCTAAGTAAAGGGAAGACCAATGGCATTAAGCAGAACTGTTTAGGTCTGTTCTTACCCACCTTTGCTGTCCCTGAACACAGATTAGTGCAGAGCCCTGATCTCTGCTCCCAGCGTGTAACCAGTCCTCAGCTCCACATTATGTAATCACAACAAGCTGTCCGAGGCAGCACGCTGCTCCATTCACCTGTCAATCATCGGTGACAGCTACACCAACTGCACAATGTGTGGTCTGTGCAGCACATAACGCTGTGTAGAGGTCTACCACACGTTAATGTCAGAGGTTGGGCATGTCTGAGCCCCGGCACCTGCAGGCGTGGATATCCTAGAAACAGTGACCACAATCAGCTCTACTGAGCATCCTGAAAGAGCCTCCAAAGGGTCTGGTGCAAGAGCACACACACACACACACACACACACACACACACACACACACACCAGGTTCCACACAGCGGCTGCAGGCAGATCGATAGCAATACACACAACCAGTGAATTACTCACCATATTACAAATGGAGGCGATGTTTCTGACAGTCATTTAGTTCACAGTGTCCCCCTCACCGCCATCTTCATAAAATAAACATGACTTCAGAGCAAGGTGACGCTGACAGATGAAGTTATAATTCGCAGCCGCTGCTGGAGGCCAGACTGCAGCCCCGAGCGTCAGAAAGCTGGCAGAGAGACACGGAGCACCATGAGGCCAGCACGGAGCTGAGAGTGCAGTCAGTGTAGACACGGATTCATCCTCACACGCCTTTCTAAAGCCCCGCAGACGTAAGCTGTCAGAGCATGAATGAACTGCGGACAGACGAAGTTTCAGGCAGCAGGATATTAGCAACGACCAGGAAACAAGCCTAATGTGTGAGAAAGGGCAGTAGTCCCACCCACCAAGAGAAAACTCCGGAGCTGATTGGTTCAGATCATCTGTGTTTGATTGACAGCACTGCGGGACCGTTCACAGACCTGCACGGTGAACTCTTAGCAGAGCTTAAACCAATAATCTGCAAGGAGTTGAAGCAGTGATATTAGGGAAATGTAGTTCTCCTTTTGGGACGCTTTCAAAGTGATGGAAGCTTTATACAGAACTGTTATGATGTTATTTCACCAAAAATGTTGTGTGTGCTTTAAAGAGTTGTAGCTATTTTATTATCAGTCGCAATAAACTTGATATAGTCTATAAAATTGATTTGTCAAAATATAACTGATTAATTTAACTTATACAATGTCAGGAAATAGCCTGATGTATTGGAAATGTCCTTCACAAGTGGTATGAGTGAGGTCTGTTTACTTGTTTTGTCTGGTGCAAAGTCTAAATATATTGAGTTCACAAAGATACAACGTACAGGGGACAACAACAACAAACAGCAAACCCTCACATTGGAGACACTGGCACCAACAGCAATTCTGCTAAATGATGTAAATTAATCTTCTGTTAACTGTAAAATTATTTGACTACTTGTTTCAGCACTGATGCATTGCCAAAATGGCTAAACACTTTACTGATTTATCCATAAAAAACAGTGAATGAACACTTCAGCTATTTAATAGTGTGGTTCCCTCAAACCAAGCATTCTCAAGATATTTAAAAAACAATTGTAATTGAAGTAGCTGGGGCCAAGATATCCTGACTTTTAGCCCTTAGCATGGGTAACAGTTGAGGCAGCGTGTCTCGTTGGTCAGCGTGCCTTGGAAGATGTTGTGAACCCACGTGGGTTCAGGCTTGTTCTCCACCTCAGTCTCCGTGGTGACGTTGTCAGGACCCTTCTGCTTTGGGAAACAACCACATCTTATAAACCACATGTCATCAAATTTGTGGGTTTTCTGTTAGAAATGTGTAGTTTCCAAGTGAAAAACTGGGATTAACCTGCTGACATCTCTCTCTCTCTCTCTCTCTCTCTCTCTCTCTCTCTCTCACACACACACACACACAAATTGCAGAAGACTTTATTAAAACAAAGTGAACTGGCTCTTTAATACTTAGAGACAAGCTTTTACACTCTGGCAACATAGTGTTGCACTTGTTAATGTGTTGCAGATTAAATAACTAGTCATTTAATTTAATCTTGCAGGCATTCTGCACTCTACCCACCAAATATAAGGAAGAGGCAGAACATTCCAAGGTAAGAGTCCTCTCTGCAGGAATCCTGGGCCCTCAGGATATTGTCGTTCACCACCAGTTTGTGCTTTCAAAAGTCTTTTGGTAATTATGTCCTTAACATTTGCATGTGAACAAAAGAAAGGGAAAACCACAAATAATTGCATTATCATACTTCAAAAGGAACAGGGAAGGAGAGAGGAAGGTATTCACACACACACACACACACACACACACACACACACACAATAACAGAGTTGCCAGTCTGAGCTGTGGAGGATGGGAGAGTTTTACTGTTGATCAGATGTTTGATATGGACCATGGGGTTAGTGAGAATTGTGTTAATTGACATTCTCATGGGTTTACTTATTTATACTTTTGATTGACACAGAAAGAATTACATGCAGTGGTAGCTTATGATTTCGTGCACTCCATGTTCATTCCATTATGGAATGGGAAATAGGACAATGAAAAAAGCATCTTCATTTTCAATTTTTCACTTTAAATTACAAAAAGTAAATGGCATCATGAGGAAGGAAGATTATGTGGATATATTGAAACAGCATCTCAAGACATTAGCCAGGAAGTTAAAGCTTTTCACAAATGGACAATGAGCCCAGCAGACTTCGAAAGTTGCAACATAGCTTAAGGACAAATAAGTCAAAGTACTGGAGTGGCCATCACAAGCCCTGACCTCAATCCAATAGAACATTTGTGGGCAGAACTGAAAAATCATGTGTGAGCAAGGAGGCCTACAAACCTGATTCAGTTCCACCAGTTCTGGGCTCAAACTCCAGCAACTTATTGTAAGAAGCTTGCGGAAGGCATCCCGAAACGTTTGACCCAGGTTAGACAATTTAAAGCCAGTGCCCCACCCCCCCATCATGTGCTCCTTCTACCGGGGCGCCAATGAGAGCGTCATCACTGGCTGCATCACTGTGTGGTATGGAGCCTGTACTGCCTCCTGCAAAAGGACCCTGCAAGGCATAGTGAAAACAGGCCCACTTCAGACTCCTGCCTTCAGGCCCACTCCACCAGACTTACAAACAGCTTCATCCACCAGGCTGTGAGGATGCTGAATGCTGTCCATTACCTCCCCTCTCTGCTCCTGGACCATAACCCACCACAGAACATAAAAAGACTACCCCTGCTGTTGCACAAATTCAATACATCCCCCCTTTAATGTTATATTACATGTAAATCCGCTGCTGTTGGTCATTTGCACTGCTGTCCATGTACATTTCATAAGCTATTATGAATCCCATCACCAACGCCCCTGGTGATGCTGACCACCTGACAGTCTTCTTGTTATTATTTGCACTACTGTCACTGTTTGCACATGACTTTGAGTTTCATCATAGCCTATTGGGTTGTACCATCTAGTTTATCCTCATTACTTGAATTCAGTTTCATATTCTGTTTATTCTGTGTTTATTCTACTTTTATTCCATTTTAGTTTCTTAAATGGTATGGGCATTCAATATTAGGTGAGAGAGAAACAGTATTTAGATTTTTCTGTATGTCCTGCACATATAGTGAATTGACAATACAAATCTTTGATCTTGATCTTAATCTCTTAGTACAGGATTAAATGTAAGGAGCTATGGAAAATTGAGTTTAAATGTGTTTGGGTAAAGTATATGTAAACTTCTGACTTCAACTGTAAATGATTAAATATAAACATAAAAGGCATTTTCCTCATTAGCTGTTTCTATTTTAAAGTGAAAAATTGACAATGGAGACATTTTTTTTATTACTGTATCTGATTTCCCATTCCATCACGGATTTGGACTGAACAGAGAGTACAGATTCTTTTGGGTGTTTGGTTCAAAACGTTCCCAGACTTTCTATTTCAGTGCAGTCTGTAATTTTACAAATAAGGTGCACTGTGGATACAGCTGCCCGTTCCCTCTGACTCACACTGCTCTAATTATCATTATTGCAGTTCTTTGTGTGTATTGATGGATATGTGAATATGGATAATGTGCAGATTATAAGTGGGACATTTCAAATACATTCATTCACATCCACAAACCAAAAGTGGCACAGGAACAGTTCTATTTCTGTTTCTGTTCTATTTGCCCACCTCAGCTGAACTGGGCCTGAATGTTTTGATCTTCATGTGGATGCACATGCAGTACACACAGACAGACAAACACACACTAATGGAAAAAAACTTGAGGTCAGTAAATATTTCCAGTAAATGAAGCTGGCTGCACTATTAAAAGCATGGATGACTTTTCTGTCGTTCAGCTTCTACAAACAGAAGCAAATGAATTATGGATCATTTTTGTATTGCTAAGAAAATAACCCCCCAGTTTAGAGATGATATCTATTAAGATTGTCTTGTGAGAATTTGCTTGCAACAGAGAAGCTATTCTTTTTCACTCCACTCAAGTTGGGGTACTGGATGTTACAGAGTGTATTGATAGCTGCAAATAAAAACAGAGTCCTAACCCAAATCCATCCATTTTCTAAACCGCTTAATCCCAAACGGGGTCACAGGGGGCTGGAGCCAATCCCAGCCAGCTGCGGGCGAGAGGTGGCGTACACCCTGGACAGGTCGCCACTAACCACTGCACCACCGTGCTGCCCCCCAACCCAAATCTTAATGTTATTTGAAGTCACAAGTGAATGAATGCACCATTTTGTGATTTGTGTTGTTTTTCTCCATACAATTATATCAATATTCTTACATCATGTAAACTAATAATTATAGTTCCTTCTTTTTTATGGATACAACAATATCAGTGTTATACACCAATCAGCCATAACATTCTGACCACTGAGAGGTGAAGTGATTAACACTGACCATCTATTACAGTGACCTGTCAGTGTGTGGGGTATATTAGGCAACAAGTGAACATTCAGTCCTCAAAGTTGATGTGTTGGAAGCAGGAAAAATGGACAAGGGTCAGGATCTGAGTGACTTTGACAAGGATCAAACTGTGATGGTGAGATGACTGGGTCAGAGCATCTCCTACACTGCAGGTCTTGGTGGGTGTTGTTGGTCTGCAGTGGTTAGTACCTACCAACAGTGTCTAAGGAAGGACAAATGGTGAACTGGAGACAGGGTCATGGACGCCCACGGCTCACTGATGATGAGGTTGAGCTACTGTAGATTAAACTTTTAACTTCCATTTGTACTTTTCAAAAGATTAATGGTTGAAAATGAGAAACACTGTCCATTGGTCTCTATGAAGAGAAAGACTCAGGGGCTGTAGTGGTGATATCAGGATGGGGAGGCTGTTGAATGTCTAATAATTCTCTAACTCGTCCTCACGACCACAGTTTTCGTTCCTTTTACATAAGTTTCTCACTGAATTGTAGACACATCTGTGCTCTTCTTGACAGTAGAACTGTGGAAGCAAATGGATTCACAGAAGATGCTCAGTGAGCTGCAGAGTGACACGAGTGCCAAACAACTGCCACATTGACTCTTATGTAAACAGTATTAGGCAGTTGGTCATAATGTTATGGCTGATTGGTGTATAACTCCACATGTTCACAATTTATGATCCTTGTCATTCATTTGTCGGACACTTGGATAGTAGCTACAGTACAAGTAGCAAAGGATCCTTAGTTGCTCCACTGAAAGATGCTCATGGTTATATCATGTGACATGGCTGCGAGTACCTTTTAGTTTATTTTCTGCATTTTGCCACTGTGAATTTATTTGTTGCTTTCATAAAAATGGAGCAAGTCACTGTCATTTTTCATAATAGTAAGCAGGCTAAGGTTTGTGAGTCAGAATTTTGGAGATAATAAAACAAATTACAATCATTTAGTCAAATGTATTACCTAATGT